AAAACAATCCTTTTTTTCCAACCAGTTCGCCAAGCCGTTTTTTATGTTATACAGTATGACGGAGCGAGCACTACAATTTTACGAAATCTTTTTGAGGTGATCAAAGTTTTCTAAGTTTTCTAATTGCCGCCTTTAAGTCAGTATAATTTTTAGAACTTTATGAATCCAAGAATCGAAATCAAAAGGCCCGAGCCTACTTTCTGCGAACCCATCGAAATACGGTTGGTGCAACTAATTCTTGTATTTTTTGTTGCGACATTCGTAATTGTAAAAATTAATAATGGTATCTCAACATCCTAGCTAGTGTGTTCAAAATCCTCATTTTTTTGCAAAATCCTACACAATTGTATTAACCCAAATTTAAGTGTGGCAGCTGTTTCTTCTAATGGAACAGGACCATTTTCCAAACCCCTTTCTATTGATGCACCACAGCCAATTGTTAGTCCCAAACTAGAAGTATCAGAGTTGGTTTACGTGGTATGTTAGCTGCATCAATTAACCCTTTGCTGCGACCTCAACGATGATAAATATCCAGTCCAACTCACCAAACGGTGGTGCTCTTTTTGCTGATGGGGACGTTGAGATAACGTTCAACTTCAAGGCCGAAGGTAAATTTCATGTAATCGTCTAAAGTTGCCAGCAGAACATCTATTGAATTAGTAGAGTGGACCCCAGGACTCCAGGATTTGGATGTAACACCAACGCTTTGGTTAGACAAATGCGAGGAGCCGAGCCTGAATCAAAGCAAGTTTCTTCCTACCTTTGTAAGTCCAACAATATCAGCTGTTTCAATAGTTAAGAATTTTTTTATTGATACTGTTTAGAAACAAGGCTCTGATCCCGGCACTGTTGTAAGTCGAATAAGTTCCGAGATAATGTATCGTGAGTGCTTTCTGATATATTACGCGAGTGAGGTTTCAAGTCGTCGATGTCAAACGTCAACAGAAATCCATTCTCTTCAAGCGAGTGACGAACAAGATATATTCATAAGTTAGTCTCTTTTATTTTGTATATCATCGTTTTTTTCCAGACATATTACATAGATGTCTCGTGATCATTAAATCCTTAAGTACATAATACAACGCGAAAAGCATAGAAGTTTTACCAAATCCTGACACCTGAGTTATACCGAATGTAAAGGACAAAGTAGCAAAAAGTGCTAGGAAGTAAAGAAAATTATTTAACAAAACGCCGTACCATTATTGACTTTAAATACTTTTCTCTCCGAAGTAAATCATATAAGAGCTAGTTAGTAGAACGTACGTAGTAAGGGATATGAAAAATTTCATGGGAGATGCCCGAAGTAAGATCACGTCACCTGAATCATGGAGTTCACAAGTTGGATTATGATTATCAACAACCCAAATCTCCACCGGTAGATTTTGCACCTACTAAAGAATGTGAGACTACAGTTGGTTTAAGATCACAGTCAC